TTTTTATTAGTAAAATTTCAATTTTCAAGAGTTAATTTCTTGGCAACCACTGATCCAATTGTTATGAAATTTGATATGCCTATTCTCCTTGGAAAGGACTATTAACCTTCTAATCATCTTGGCTGTAACTATTCTGTGTAAAATTTTATTTGCAATTGAAATTTTATTAAGTGACAATTTATCATATAGATCACCTGTTTACGCAAAATCGGAATTATTAATTTGATATCAAAAACATCTCAAAAAATCTCCAAAACTCAAGGATTAAAATGAGCTTAGTAACTATTATTCTAAAATCTCTCGTTCAGGCTGTAGAATTTTTTAAAGACAAAAAGTCTGGTGTTGCAGTACTTTCATGAGGCACTGTAAAATTAATGAAGAAAGTAGATTGGGATGAAGAAAGGTGTAAAAAGATTCAAGCAGTTGGAATAATACACGCAGGTACATTTTTCATATGTTTACGTGAATCTATTAGGTTTGACTGTTAACTAATACAATTTAGTATTTTTTTGGACAACCCAAAGGATTATGTCTGCAGGATGCAACGGGGTGAATTAATGGAAATTTCCGATAATGAAGAAAAGTTTTCTTCTATTCTTGAGATTCTTGTAACGGTTCTAAACATAAAGGTTGGTTAAATTCATGCTTTTTGTCTAATGATTTATTATAGGCTGATGAATGTTAGGCTGTAGTTCGAGAGACAATAAAGACAATAAAAAAAACAAACTTCTGACAAATTTAAAAAGGCCGGATTTTGGAAATGACCTCGAGACAATAGTGATCATCAATTATTTCTGTGTTTAACAACTTCAAAGAAGGCAAAGAAGGTAAAGAAAGCTAATGTAAAAGCACATTCCAAGGATTCCGAAGAATCAATCCCACCCCATGTCCCGGATCGCCATCACAACGATCCGATTTATTTTCATACTTAGACGAAATTTGAAAAAGTAATATAGACTATAAAAAAAAATAATTAATGGTTATTATTAGAGGTTCGAAATTTTTTTTATACTGGGACAATTGTATTTTAATTATGATGTATTGCAAATAAAAATTATGTTATTCGATCATGACATTTTGGCACGGTTTTTATTTGTGCTAATAAAAACTTTTGAATAATTCGCATCTTATACAAAAAAATGTCAAACATTCAATCCGAAATTGATTTATTGAAACTTATACTTGTAATGAATAATGAAATAGTGAATAAGTCTGAATATATAAAATAGTATCTCATTAAAACAGAGTACATGTATATTTAATTGATGCAATAATTCATAATAATTTTTATGTTTTTTTTTACCAATAGATTTCTTTAGATAATTAGAATTAACAATTGAATCCGAAAAACAAATTCATCAAAATTTGTTCCCTTGGAACCTTTTGTGTCTCTAAAATTGTCGTTAAACAGGGACGTAATTTCTCTTAGGTGTTGCCTGTCTATGTGTTTCCAAAACTCGTATGGGATGTTGGATTCTCCTTGTGCTTTTTTGTTAGGCATTTTCTTTATGATCCTTTGAACTTAATAAATTTTCAATAAATTGCTTGGTTATTAGAATATTCCTCCACTCTGGATTCCGAATCAAGTCATATAATTCATCTTGATCAGATTGATTGTGTTCAAGGTTTAATTCAGAAGTAAAAAAAAAATTGATTAATTGTTTGTCCAAATTCTGTGCTGCAAGTTTTTTGCTTCAGCTCTTTTTTCTTTTGAATTTCCAATGTGAGCGGGTGGCACATAATCTTTAGCTCTTTCATCCAATTCAATGGTCATTTCAAGTTATTATTTTCACTTTCTTCCATTTAAACATTATTCTTTTTTGTTTTAGTTCTGTCAATTTTTTTATTTGGTTTTATTTTTTATTGATGCGGGATTGAATTTATTATAAATATTTTATTATATAATATTAGTAAATTTTTGTGATAACTTTTTATATTATAATTAAAATTTAGTAATTTTGAAAGCTCTAGGTTTAAGCTATCAAATTACGATTAGCTTTAAAATATAGAAAGAGTAGACACAATTTAAATATAGGATACAAAATTTGTTGGATTAGGTGACCCGAATTACATATTATCTATACCTGCAAAAAAGAATCGCAACAAGAAAATGGGTTATATCTATAACAACTGACCACTTTAATAAAATTTCTAAAGGTGAGTTAAATAATTCGTGTTTGGAAGGTGTGAAAAAATTCTACTTGTCAAAGCAAATGCACACAAAGTTTTCATTATGCAGAATAAGGATTTTTAATGTGGTGGATTTCTCATGCACATAAAAGTGATACAAACATCTTCCAGAATTTTAATTGATTTTTAATAAATATAACCAAATTTTTGATGTATTTTATATAGTATATATGTATATGTATATATATATAATATAATATGAACAAATATAATTTTTGTATGAAGAAAAAAAAAATAACAACAATAAAGTATAATGATAATAAAAATAAATGTAATAAAAAGAAAAGGTATAATAAATGTATAATGTAATAAATTTTTTAAATATATATATATAGATAGATAGATAGATAGATAGATAAAAGATATACAGAGAAAAAAAATAATAAAAGAAGAAAAAAAAGCAAAAGAAAATAATAAAAAAAATATATATATATAATAAAATAATAATAATAATAATAAAAAGAAATATGTATATATGTTATGTATATAGTATATATGTGTATAAAAGTATAATATATTCCAACATTTTATAGAAATATGATGTAAAATAAGTGTGTATATAATATAGATATATATTTATAAAAAAAAAAAAACTAAAAAAAAAAAATGAAACAAATCAAACAAAATAAAATGTAATTATAAACTACAATTTTAAATAAAAAAAAAAAGAATAGATATGCAAAATATGAATGTAGAATAATAATAAAATAATAAAAATAACATTCAAATAGTGAAAATAATAATTAAAATAATCAAATAATAAAAATAATGAAAATAATGAAAATAGTGAAAAATAATAATAAATAATAATAATAATAATAATAATAATAAAGCACAAATTAAGAATCACCTTGATTTGTGCAAGTCCAATTTGCAGAATTTCAATTCATTCTTACTTTATTTCTTTAATTTCTTTACTTTGTTTCGTCTTGTAGTAGTAGTAGTAGTTGTTGTTGTTGTTTAAGGTTTTCCACTGAATTCTTTTTTTTACCTGAGAAAACAAACAAAATCTTCGATTACATGACCATTATTATTACATAATTTTACAATCTTCGATTACATCATCATTATTACAGTAACATTTTTAAAGAATAAATCATAAATATAATCATCAATGATTATTATTATTGAGAGTTTTATTTGTACCATTAATATTTGAATTATTATCATTCCCGTTCGTTGTCCCACGTGAGACCGTGATCGAAGATTCTAAACCAGAACCTCCTGAAGTATCTGAAGAAGAAGTGGTTCCGGAACCGGAACCTGAACCTGTAGTCGATGAAGAATGGCAAGAATCAGATGAGGATGATCTAGATGCATTGCCGGGTCCATGACTTTGCAGGTGTTGGTTATGTTGATGAATATAATAATTATGATGACTATGTTTATGATTTAATTGATTTAATTGATGCACATTATATTGTCCAACATTATTCGTCGTCGCGGTTGTGGTTGTTGGATTATTATTATTTGTAACCACCACCCAACTACCTCTTTTATTATTAATTTCAATTGATGGTGATTTCTTAATTAAATGATTTAAATTATTTAATCCATTTGTTGTATTTCCATTCATAATTATTGAATTTGATGGGACGAATGATGATGTTGGTGTTGATGTTAATGATGATGATAATGTTGTTGTTGTTGTTGATGATGATGATGATGATGATGATAATGATGATAATGATGATGGCATAGAAGAAATAGATAATGATGAAGGTATATTGTTATTATTATTGTTATTGTTAATATTATTATTATTTGAATTATTATAACTATTAGAAAGACTACTTCCACTCCATGCAGGAACAGATCCACGTCTCACTAATCCTGGACCTCCTAAATTATCAGGTAATGATGATGAATATGATGGTGATGCAACATTTGATATATTTGTCGATATATTATTATTATTGTTGTTGTTATTGTTGTTATTGTTGTTATTATGAAATCCTCCTAAATGACGAGGTATTGGTGGTAATACAAGTGATGCTCTACGTGCATAATTTAATGCTGCTGCACCAATTGCTGCTGGATTAAATGATATTCCTGGAATTGGAGGAGGTAAAGTTGAAACTGGTGTAGTGGGTAATGATTGTGTAGATGATTGAGGTGGTGGTGGTGGTGGAGGATATCCTGTATAATGATATGTGGATGGTGGTGGATATTGAAATGAATTTGTTGGTGAATCATGTGACATTCTTCTCATAAGATTTGTAATATTATGAGTAGATGATGGTCTATTATTTCCATTACTACCAATATTATTATTATTATTATTATTATTATTATTATTATTATTGTTATTATTATTATTATTATTATTATTATTAATGTTATTATTATTATTAATGTTATTAATGTTATTATTGTTATTGCCATTGTTATTTAATTTTGAAGACGTTATTGATGATGATGATGTTGAATGATATGAATTAGATCTATAATGATGATCTTCTGAATTCATTATTGATTTATTTGATGAATTTTTATGATCATCTGATAATTCCCCACTACGTGCTCGACTTAATAAAGAACCACTACTATTAGCTCGTTTTATAGTTGAACCTAAACTCATTGATCGATGATGATGTTGTGCATGATGAGGATAAGGTTTATGTAAATGATGATAATGTAAATGATGATTATTATTAAATGAATTACTTGAAAATGGTGAATTCATTGGTGATCTATTTATTGTTGTTGAATTATTTGAATTTGAATTATTATTATTATTATTATTGTTATTATTATTATTATTATTTAAATTATTATTTAAATTTGTTGTCGAAGCATACATAGAAGGAGATGATCCAGGTAATGATCCATTTAATGAACCAGGTAATGAACCGGATAATGATGATGGTGGTGGTGTTTTTGTTATATGTGCCGTAGAATATTGTTGAGGTGATGATGTTAATGTAGATTGATAAGTGAGATTTAATGATTTCGTTGATGAAAAACTATTTTCTTTTCTATGACTACGAATAAATGGATGACATTCTGTTTGTTGTTGTTGTTCTTCTTCTTTCATAGCTTTTGTTCCGCCTCCTTTACTTGTATTTGTATCATCGATTGAATGTAAACGTCTTGTTCGTTTATATTGTGCATTATTCTTATCAACTCCTGATGTTTCCCACCTGTTGCTACCGTTTAGCCCATTTGGAAATCGAATATTTTCATATATTCCCCCACCTTGTCTCATTTCCTCTTCTAAAACCCAATGTTTAAGTAATTGATCTCCGTATCGTTGTAATTCATCCACTGAAATTGCTAACCGAAAGTCGTTCAATACAAGAAATTCTAATTCGAGTTGATTCAATTCCGATACTGGTAGTCCTCCTACCTATAATATCATAATTACGAATAAAAAATATATGTATTAATCCAATCATTATAAATTAAAATTAAAAAAAAATTAATTAAAGTAAATTAAAAAATAAATTAAAATATTTTTGATAAAAATATTATTTATAATAATATAATAAAAAAAAATATTATTATTATTATAAATTATATTTTTAAAAATATTTTTAAAATATTTTTGTAAAAAAAAAAATTATATATAAAATTTATAAATTAGTATGATGATAATATGATTCTTTTTCTTTTTTTTTTTTTTTAATCAGTTCTCTAAAGTTGTTATAACACGGGCAATCTTTAATTATCTATATGCACTTGTTATTAGAAATTATACATTTAGACTAAAGATCCCAACCACCAATTAATAAATGATTCGGGACAAATTATATTAAACTTTTTGTTTGAAATGACACCATTAATTTCTAATATATATATATATATTTTTTATCCAGTGAATTAAGAGTTTTGGATTCGGTTTCTTTTTTTTTCTAAGATAAAAGAATTTCACTGAATTTCACTAATATTGCCCTCAAAAAGTTAAAATAATTTGGGACGATTACATTTGTTTCTTCCTGACCCGATCATTATTATTATTATTATTAATTATTAATTATTGTTGAGAAATTTTCAATTGATTATTATTACCACCACCAATTGATTATTTGTGAAAATTGTCAATTGATTATTTGAGAAAATTACCAATTGATTATTTTGTGCTGTCGAGAAAAAAAAAACCGGCAATGGGAGTTTTCTTTCTCTCTCTTTCTCTCCCTCTTTCTCTTTCTTATATCATCATACTATTATTGAATAATAAAAAATATATATATTTTTTGGGGGATGTGTGCACCTGGAAAATTTCATCTATTATTCCCTTTTTTTTGTGGTCATTCCCTTACCATACCTTTGCGTATCTCGAATTTGTAAAGAATACATCTGAAAAGAATTTCGATGACACCATGATGCCTGCAATTATTAGTCGATGAATATTGAAAGAATCGATGGAGAAGGCCTTCCCTGAGTTTGTCGCTGATGCATTTTTTGACATCCGATCAAAGTAAACTAATAATGAAAGAAAACATTCATTCGTCGTCGGACAATATTTTAATATCCGTGAAAGGTATGAATGAATATCTATTGAAGGGATGGAGCGTGCATGAAAACGCGTGAAAGAAGGTGTGGTGGTTACTGTCGTTGTCGTCGTCGTTACTGAACTAGCAGGAGTAGACGTTTCCGTATGGTTATTATTAACGTTATGTGAAGAATTTAGTTGGTCATTTGCACTTGTAATCTTTTCCAATAAGGAAGCAAGCATCTTAAGAGTATCGGTAACAGGAAAATTTGACAAATCCAACGTGTGCATCATGAATGCTAAAGTTATATATATATATATATTTATTTCTCTTTCTCCAAAAAAAAAATAATAGTAATAATGGTAAAAAAAAATATTTGGTTTATGGACTTTGTTGTCTAATGAAATTCAAATAAAAGAGTATTAGATTATCAAAAGTTTATGTAAATAGATACATAAAAGATGTTAGATTTGACAAAGTAATAAGAAGTTAAAAAAAAAAAAAAAAACTAAGTAATACCATATAGTAAGTAAAAACTCTTTTAGGTGAGAAGAAAAGTAAATCGAAGACTATAAACAGGAAGTATTATGTATGGCAACCAATGAAAAACCTCGAAAAATTTTACTAACGTCAAATTTATCAAACTTGACCGACCAGTTGTAAAGTTGTTTTATTGATTAATTAAAACGTTACGATTAAATATACAACATAAATAAATTTTAAAATGGAAATAGATCAGGAAGAGAATTATTTTCAACATATTTCAAATATCAGGTGATGTAACTCTTTTATTATAAAAATATGAATTTTGATTTTTTTTTTTTTTGAAATTTTAGTAAAAAAAAAAAGAGGATCATCCAGATAATAATATTTGGACATTAATAAATAAAGTTCATGTCTATTTAAATTTTTATTTTTGTATATATTAACAATATTACAATATTGACAATGTTAACAATATAATCTTTTTTTGTATATATTAACTTTAACAATGCAATTTTTAACAATATAATATGTTACAGGTGATATATCATGTTATCCTAAATTCCTAAAAAAAAAATGCAGTGAATATGTGAATATTCTTTTGAGAATTTTGAGAATTTTGAGAATTTTGAGAATATGAAAATTTAAAATATTTCATTAGAAATAAATTGAAATGAATTAATTGAAATGAAATAACAATTTCTATTATCTTTCATAATAATTAATTTACACCAATAAACTTATTATCCTACATTAATCTTAATCATTCATAACATAATATTGATATTCATTTTATTTTTTATTTTTCATTTATAATATTCATTTAAAATGATATCACTTCATTCCATCCATTAATCCAGTAATTAACTCTTTGATGATAGATAAAAGTCACAAAATATATTTAAAATGAAAAAATTATTTAGTTAGTGATCAAAATAAAATGACGGAATTTAGAAAGTCGATTTTACAATAATCATACAATTTAACCAAGGAAGAAAATCAGAGTTAAGTTTGATATAAGAATTATGAATAAATAATTTTGGTGATCTTTCCCTCAATTAAGGTTAGTTTGATTAATTGGAAATTTAGAAATAACAAAGATAATAATGTTCTATAAAGGAAATTTATATTCTTTTTACCGGTTTGGATACATTTCAAATTTACACAAAAATCATTGAAATCATTGAAATCACGACACAAAGAACCATAGTTAGTTCAAACTGAACTTTTTTTTTCTTTCAAATAAATTATTATTCTTATTTTTTTTTTTTTTTAAAAAAAAAAATATTTGAATGAATATTATTATTATTATTAAATATATTGTTAACACATTGTTAACATATTATTAGCACATTATTAACATAATGAAACTGAGAAAAAAAATTTTTGTAAAAAAATTTTTTTTTCTTTTGAAGAAATCCCCAAACCATAAATAAGAAAATTTTAAAAAAAATATTACCGTTTTGTAACCAATTTACTAAGTACCGCCAGATAACAGTATTGATATTGTGCGAGAGTTTGAACCATGGTTCTACGTTGTTTTCGAAGAAGGCTAACCAAATAATTAATTAAATCTGATTTATCATCTTTAAAAGTTGGTAACATGGCTAATGCCGTATGAACTGTACAAAAAGTTCCCGTACGTCCACAACCTGCACTACAATGAACTACCATTGACCCTACTTTTAAAGGAGGTATTTGAATATTTGCTAAATTAATATATTGTTGTTGAACTTCATTTGTTTTATTAACTAAATTAAGTAATGTATCCGGTGTATCCGGTACACCGTGATCCGGCCATCCAACAAAATGTAATTGAGTAACGGTTCGAACTTCCGTAGTTCGTGTTGTTTCTTCCAATTTTTCAATTCGAATGGTTCTTAATACGCAAGTGGCATTAGGAACCAATTCTTCCTTTTCTAAAATAATTTTCATTCCAATCTCATTAAATATCATTGATTGATTAACTTCTTCAGGCCAATATCGATGACATTTGATTTGTCCCTTCTCTTGTTCTTTCGTTAACATCACTATCACATATGAATTTTGTTCCCAAACCATTAACCAAAAATCATCAAAAGTTCTTTCGATAGGTCCTTGTGCTGCAATGTAACTCGTGATACCATTAGGTCCCTCAACAAAACTTGCATTAATATAATCCGTTTTATTAGGACGAGTTTGTATAAGTTTAACTCGGTTATAATCAAAAGGTAAAATATCGGAATATCTATTAAAATCCATTGAATCATCTCTTAACGCTACTGACATACTGTAATCTGCATCGGCTTTTTCAAATTGTTCGCCTCTCTTAACTTCCTCTTTTGCAAGGATAGAAAACTTGGTGGCCAAGGTTTTCTGGTCTAAATTTTGAGCGTCCGAAAGAAAATTCGGAATGTTTGAATCGGTTGCCATTTTTTTTTTTTTTAATAAAATTGAAATTCGATTGTGGCAATATTTCAATTTTATGTGCCCAGTCACGTTATTTCCGATCAGCATATTACTATCTCCAACCAATTAAATTATGTGTAAATATTCTAAAATAAAAGGTTTTCTCTATTAACGTAACGAAAGATTTTTTAATGATGAATTATACATTTTATTTATTTTCGTTATTATAAAATAATAATAAAAAAACGAAAATAATTATTATTATTTTATTTTTATTTTATTTAATTTTTAATAAACAGTAGTGTTCAAAGTGCATTTCACAAGCAAAAATAAAAAAAAAACTCCTTTTCAAACGTGTAATAAACGAGAATAACAGCAGACCCATTTCTTCACGACACTTTTACAGTAATTCTATTAGACCCACCTGGTTCTCCGATCATGAATGCAGACTTACCTATCTCTAAAGAATTAACTCTTAGCCACTTTTCAATATTAAGCAGCCGTTTGAGTTATTGATGAAAGAATTCGATAATGATTGATGCTTCTTATCTAAACACTTGGATGGGATTCAATCTCAAAAAGAAAGTGAATGGCGATTCATCACAAACATATACATGTAATTTTACCAAACATAATCAATCTAGCACTCGAAAAGAAGGAATTCCAAGTAATAAATGATGAAAAACAAAAATTCTTCCATCTCACATGTGCTTTGCCAAAATTAAATTGTTAAAGTTTGTCACAGAAAAAAAAAGTGCACGTTGAGCGTTTCAAAGATTCAACCGATCATACTCATTCTTTGGAGGAAAGTGCTAAAATTAAGCATCCACAAGCTATCCGAAATCTAGTTGAACAGGAAGTCCTAAAAAACTATTGGCCACCAACAATTCTTAATGCAGTCAAAAGAATATGCAATAGGAAAAAATGGGCTTGAATGAAAGTGTAAAAGAGTTGAAGCTTAAGGAAGTTACCAATATTAAACATAAAGTTTGTGGAACCCTTGATACTCATCTTATCCCCAAACGAGAATTAGATATTCAGGAATCAATTTTTTTTTTTTTTTTGGAAAATTAGAAGTATCAGGTTGAGCGTTATACAATTTCCCATAAATCTTCCACTCAAGGCTTTGTTTTCTTACACCCAAATCAGATCGAGAACCTTGATGGATTAATTCAACACATAGGACATATGATGTTACAAAATTACTGACAGCCTATGTTTGAAAAAATTTTCAATGGTTGTTTGAGGAGAATGGGTTTGATGTATATATATCATGAATTAGTTGAAATAGGTGTGTCAGAAAAAATTACAACTGTGAAATTGGTGATTGGTTATAAATGAGCTTATGGAAAAACGTGTGAGGCATATTGGAGGGGTTAAAGAGAAGGGCAATGAGAAGCAAACTGGAGTACTTATTGAGGAACTAAAATCCTTTTTAGAACCAATACTAAATGGTGTAGAGGTAAGAGAAGATGTACAATGTTAAAGAATGAGTGATTCATTTATTTCGATTCGATCCTGCTGCCATTTGTAATGAATGATGACGGTATAACTGATTATAGTTTCTCCCCAAAGAATCTCATTGTTATGCATTGTATATGCATCTTTAGTAGTATTTAACTCCTTTACATAATAATCATCCGATGCAGTGAATTTAACAACAGCAAATCATTTCAACGATTATCATCTGGACAATTATTGATCACAGGTGCATAAGTGATAGAGTTAATAGGTTATTAATAATAATATTTATACCAATTGACAATTTTAATAACAATAAGAAGTCTTTTACTTTGTTCTCTTTTTTTTTTTCCACAAAAATTTTATAATTTTACCGAATTCATTGTTTTATTTAATAAATCCTTTTAATATTTGACAAAATATTAGAAAAATTGGAACACAAGTTTAAAAGATGTGAGGGAAAACATAAGTACAAAAGATAATTCTAATAATTTCAATAATTAAATTATTAATGTAAATGATAATATAATTGATTAAATTGTAAGAGCGATTTTCTTTGATGTTCTCCTGGTAAATAAAAAACAAAAAACAAAAGTAATTTCATTTCTTTCACACAAATAAATAATAATACTGTAATGCAATAATAAAAATATTATTATTGAAATAATAATTGATTCCAAACAAACCAGGTTACCGAAGCATATATTCGATATTTAAGCATATATCGGATATTTGGATATTTAAGCATAATCTTTTACGACATTATAAAATAATTTTAATTAACCGATTACGTAGTTAATTTATTCAATATCAAACTTTTTTTAAGTATATATTCGGAAATTTTTAATGAATTCGAATTAGAATGATTTATACTAAAATAGGGTAATAAGCAATTAACCAATCACAAATTTTGTAATTTGTCATTTTGTCATTGTTAAATTACAATGAGAACATAAATATTTTTTTTTTAACAGATACATAGATCCGGAGATAGATAAAACCAATATAGTATTGAAGTCCATGCTTTTAATGTTTTACTAAGCACTTTATTGGAATTTATTAAAAAAAAAATAAAAAAAATAAAAAAAATACCACAACACCAGTTTTTGGATAAAAATGAGGCAATTTTTTATTTATTATATTTATTTGCAGCGATTTATTCTTCGAATAATCTTATATCAGCAATTCATTTATCAATTATCTTAATCAAAATTCATCATTCAAAGTTACTAATAAGTAACTAACCCATTCCATTGAAAAGTTTGAGAAAAAAACAACCAATAACACAAAAACGTTGTTTTATTTTTTTTTTATTTTTTTCCGAAACTTTCCCCCTAATCACAAACTTCCAAAAACGTTTACCAAGACGTATACGATGTGAATGTGTGTATGTTCATGTATCCTCAATTAAATTTAATTACTTTAATTAGAAATTAAATTCAATAACGACTCTATTTGAATAAATATTTCATTGCTTGATATCTTGATTTTTTGATTTTTGATTTTTGTATGAAGTCAATGACAATGATAATGAGAGTCCACAAAGTGGCAAATAATAAAAATAACAAAATTGTTTCCGAAACAAGAAAATTTGCATAGGGGTGAATATTGTAACATGAATGACTTTTGTTCTTTTTGTTGTTCGTAAATTGTGACGCAAAAAGAATGAATTCATTTAAATAATTTCGATTTTTGTTTATATTATGTTTATATTCATCAATACTGTTTATGGATATCTAATTTGATTTTCAAAAAAAAAATAAACCAAAAATAAACTTTTGTCATAAACAAGAAAAAAAAAAGTAATAAAATTTAGTATAACGCACTATCATTATGTCAGTATAATACATTTATTATATTTTTAAATGAATTTTATTGAAACCTTTTTTTAGTATATAAAGAAGAAAGCACACTACATATAAATTTCTCTTATATTGTTATTTGCATATTCTTAATTGATATATGTGAAAGACAGATCTACTTAGGGGCTTTCTTGGGGTAACAGGATTTCTTTTTCTTTATAAAGTTTCAATTCAGGTTACTCGACATTCATAAAAATACATTAGATATATTTGGATATTTGGATATGTTATATATATGTTACTGGAATATTCTAAAAATATATATGTATAATTTGATTAATTATTATACCAGGATTTTATTTGAATTTATAATTAATTATTTATTTATAATTTAATTTATTTTTTATGTATTTTAATTTAATTTATTTTTTATGTATTTTAATTTAATTTATTTTTTTATGTATTATAATTTAAAGAAGACGATTCCACAAAGATTCTTCATCTCACACGCGTACACACTTGACACATAAGAGTAATCAATACAATAAAGAATTATTATTATCATTATTATTTATATTTATTATTTATATTTATTGTTATTTGTTATTTATATGTATATTATCATTAAATCTAACAATACCAATTCAATCGCAATATTCACTCAATAAGCTCAATAAGAGATTTTATCCACATCCACAAAGAATCGATTTTATTATAAATACGGAACCTTTTACCTTCATCCTCCTTACGGTTCCTTCTCAAGTTTTCCGTACAAAAAAAACAATTCTCTTCTTACGAACAATAGTCAGGTTACTATTGTAGTTTCTCAATACATAGCTTTCTCATATAATAATCATTCAAAAAATATTTATTTTGATTCTAATAACGTATTCATATTTTTTTAACGCACAAATAAAAAAAACAAAATCTAAATATTACAACTTATCAAAAATGAATTTCTTAAGCTCATTATTCCTTTTGGCTTCCCTTATTTATTCTGTCTCCGCTCATAGCGCAATGTCCTATCCTCCTGCTAGGGGTCATCCTTTAAATCCTAATACTGTTGTAGATCGTGATTGTCTTACAGCTCCATTGAATGGGGGTCCAGGTTGTCCAGCTAAACCTTTCCCTTGTGGTGGTTACCCAGTTGATTCAGCATTTGGTGTCACTTTTAACGCTGGTCAAGTATTTGAAGTACAATTTCAAAATCCTGGTGTTCCAAATCCTACTGATACTAGTGATCAAGGTCGTCATAATGGTGGTTTATGTGAATTTGCATTATCATATAATGGTGGTAGTACCTGGACCAAAATTGCCACTTACCACAGAACATGCCCTGACGTTTTCTACAGATGGCCAGTCAAAATTCCCGAAAATGCTCCAACTTGCGATACACTTGGTCAATGTATACTTAGTTGGTCTTGGATAAACGCTCTCGGAAATCGTGAATTCTATCAAAATTGTGCTGACGTGAGAATTATGGGACAATCTACTACACCATTACCAATAATAGATATTACCAAAGCCAATTTACCTGAGTTTGGAACTACTCTTACCCCAGAAGGAGATCCAGCCAATACTGGAAATGCGAGGGGTTCAGGTCCACTTGCGGAAGATGTTACAGCTAATTTACAACCATTTGCACCAGGAAGTCAACCACCCCCAGCATCAGATACTCCAGCAACAAGTGCAACAAGTGCAACAAGTGCAACAGGTGCAACAAGTGCAACAAGTGCAACAAGTGCTCCAACATCAGCAACAGATACTCAAGCACCACCACCAGCAACTGATACTCAAGCACCACCACCACCACCAGCAACAAATACTCAACCACCACCACCCCCAGCAACAAGTGCTCCACCACCACCACCCCCAGCAACAAATACTCAACCACAAGCTACAAATACTCAACCATCACCCAAAAAGCCATCACCATCATGTGAAGAAGGAATAATCAGATGTGTAAGAAACAACAGAAGTCCTTATTATATTGCTTGTCATAATGGAAAGAAAACTACTCTTAAATGTAAAGGTCGTTCGGTATGCTGTCAAAATGGAAATAACATCGAGTGTAGAAATAAATAGATTAAACATAATAATCGTTTATTTCTGAGACACAAGTCGTATTTCAAAAAATAATAATTTTTTGTTTTGTTTTTTTTTTGTTTTTATTATTTTATAATTTGTATTATTATATATCACATTGTTTAACTTGGTTTTTTTTTCAAAAATTTGTAAAAAAATTGTAATATTTAAAAATTCTCGGAAAACTTGAGAAGAAAACGTTATAATGTTTTAATTTAACATATAATTTCAATTCTCACCCAATTTCTTTTTGTAAAACAAACAAACTAATAAAAGATTCGAGTGAAAAGCGTAAATTATAATTATATGCCCCTTTATATTTATTTATTTATTTTTTATTTCTTTGATCGAAAAAACATTTTAATTTAATTTCAATTCACATTATGTAATACGAACAAACTAATAAAAGATTCGAGTAAATTATATAATTAAAATTAAATGTCACATTATTTATTTTTTTTTTTTGTTTTTATTTTTTTATTTCTTGATCGAAAAAACAAATTCTATGCACAAGAAAGTATTAATTATTGAGATATATCATCACGTATTGTTGTACGTATATTATCCAATTTAACAATATTGTTACTCTCTCCCTTTACCATTTTGCGAATTCTTCTGTTCCAATTTCAAAATTCCGAACCAAGCTCAGCATTTTCTTTTTCTAATTCTACTATTTTGATATTGAGTTTGACATCTCTTAACTTTGCATTTGTTCAAATTTCACGATTCTAGCCATAAATCTTGATTTTTTAGCCTTAAGTCCGCTAATTTTGAGTAAATAAATCACCAGGAAGTTTGCCGATCATTTTTGCTAAGAAAAAATAATCATAGTTTTTTTTTTTGTCTAGATAAATAGGAAACAAAATATGGGAATCGAACCTTTAAACTCTTTACTGATACCTTTCTCAAAAATTATTCGGGTCTTCATTGGTCGCAAAAAAATATATATTTGTATTTACACTTCTTTATCTTTATTTCTTTCGGAGCCAATTACAATCTCTTTATCCTCCAAAAAAGTAAACATATTTGTTGTTTTCAATTATTAAATGGAATTTCTAATCACATTCTCATTATTTGTAGGATGCCTTTGAGATTTATTGGCTCTGATTGGTTTCTTTTGCATTGGAGATCTCTCTTTTACGCTTGTTGCCGAAACAAATAATAATCTTTTTATGAACCTTACGTTTCAGATGATAGGCTTTTTCCTCACCTCATAAAAGTTCTTAAACCAGACAATTATCAATCGTCGTATCATGTGGTTTGCGGTGAACATGGAACCGGGAAAACTACATTGATCAGATATGCACCAAGAGTAGTTGGTTCTGACGTCATATACGTTACTCTGTTGAAGATTTTGGCATGGCATTTGGGAACGTTCTTAACTTTGCATTTGAGGAGCGGATTCTTTTGATAGTAAAATTGGGCAACACTGGTCGTGGATTTATTATCATTACATTTTTATAACAGCAAAAATTTTGACTCTAATTTCTTTTTTGATAGGCGATTCTAATATTCCGTTGTTAGGAGAACCTGAAAACTTTTAAAAATGCTGCTAAAGTGCATAAAACAAAAAATGATAAACCTGCAGTTATTGTTTATGATATTGTATGTCGGTTGGTTCATCAGAATCCAGAAATCCTTTATTTCCTCCAAGGCGATGCCAAAGATAATGCCGATATTGGAACATACATTGCGGTGTTTGTCAGTAATGAAGGAGTTGCCCTGAGAAGAATGGAATGTAAGCATGAGTACTATTTTTTGCTCCAAAGGGAAATATAATAATTTGCATATTATGATTTTTATTTTAGCTCATAGTGCCCGGTCTCGTGCACAAACGCCAGTGGAAGTTGGTGATTTTAACGAGGAAGAATCAATGAGATATTTAGGAAGTAAAGGCAAAAAAAATCTATGAATTGGTTGGTGGCCGCATTGTAGAGCTGGAGGAAGTGGCAAATAAATTTATGGATGGACAATCCTTCGAAGGTATGAATAAGTTTCATAATCTAAGAAATTTAATAAAGCAAATGAAACGCATTATGAAGCAGGAAAACGTGTGATTAATTCTTTGAAGAGATTTATATTGATTCATTTAGAAAATTATTCGCGAATGAGGAGGAATACATTGGAGTTTTAAAAGATACATTCGGGAAAACTCTGGTATATTTGTTGATCTAATTAATCCCACCCTCACTAATGAACACAATTCTAATTATGCGTCAACTTTCAAATCATAAAATACGCGATAGCAGAAATCAAGATGAGCAAACAATTGGTATCAATGGGAAAACTACATTGAATAATACAATAAAATAAATTTCTTATTTTTTTTTTGATGCAAAATAAAATGATTTGGGATTTTTTATTTATGATCTGTTTACTGCATTGGTGAGGATAAAATAGAAAAAGGTATCGTTTTGATAGACTTATTTTTGAGTAACGTTGTGCAACTAAATAATTTAGCCATAGAAATTTTCACCCCACATGATATTTGATTTTTGAATTTGATTGGTCCATTATTCGGCGGGTGATCAGAAATTTTTCACGTGTTGCTTCTACAGCGTGATGAATATTCGGTGACGAATATGTTTTCCGTAAGTAAAAAAATTCCAAGTCCCCAGAATATTTAATGAAAATTGATATTCGAAGGGTGTGACACACGGAGAGAAGTACACTACCCATGATAAACACTAACCTTTACCCATGAATTTAGTACGTGGGGGTGAAATTTCTATGGCAATACTGGGTAAGATAACTAAATGCATTTTTGATAGATCAGGGGTTATTTTTTTGATATACTTTGATGTACCTCCGAATTTGATTATTTTTTTGATAGATT